CAAGGTTTCTGGCTGTTTTTGAAGGAGTTATGGTTGATGTGCCTAACTGGATGGTGAAATTTTGATAAAGTGATGTGTTTGTTGAAACCACAAGCAGTTCTGTCTTGGCCAGGTTGAGTTGAAGGTGATGGTCCGTCATCCAACAAGAAATGTCTGTTAGACATGCTGAGATGCGAGCAGCTATCGTCTGATCATCAGGATGGAATGAGAGGTAGAGTTGAGTGTCATCAGCATAGCAGTGATATGAAAAGCCATGTTTCTGAATGACAGAACCTAGTGATACCATGTAGACAGAGAAGAGAAATGGTCCAAGAACTGAGCCCTGAGGCACCCCTGTAGCTAGATGTTGCGACTTGGACACCTCTCCTCTCCAAGATACCTTGAAGGACCTATCTAAGTGATAAGACTCAAACAACTGCAGTTTCTGATATGCCCTTTGCCAATAGGGTTTACAGGAGGATCTGGTGGTTAACCGTGTCAAAAGCAGCAGGCAGATCCAGCAAGATAAGTATTGAAGATTTGGAAACCGCTCTTGCCAGTCTTAGGGCTTCAACAACTGAGAGCAAGGCAGTCTCGGGTTGAATTCACGGTCCATCCATCTCGGTCCACTTATGAAACCAGACTGGTTGCTGTCCAGGAGGTTGTTCTCTGTGAGAAAGGCAGAGACTTGGTTGAACACAGTTCGTTCCAGTGTTTTTGCAATGAAAGGAAGAAGGGAAACCGGTCTGTAGTTCTCAAAAAAAAAGAGATGGGTTAAGGGTGGGTTTCTTAAGTAGTGGGGTTATACTAGCCTGTCTAAATGCTGAGGGGAAAACACCAGTGTGAAGGCATGTGTTAATGATGTGAGTGAGTACAGGTACAACTGCAGGAGAAATGGTTTGAAGGAGATGAGATGGATCAAGCGGACAAGTAGTAGGATGATTAGAAAGGATGAGTTTGGAGACTTCTGCCTCAGAGAGTGAAGAGAAGGATGTGAACGAGTGTATGTTTGCTGGTAATTATGTGCTTAACAGATTGTGGTGTGGAGAATTGTACACTGATGGTTGTAATTTTATTAATAAAGAATGTGGCAAAGTCGTCAGCTGTTAGAGTTCATGAAGGAGGAGGAGGACAAAGCAGGGAGGAAAATGTTTTAAAGAGCATGCGAGAGTTAGACGAATTGTTAATTTTGTTGTGATAGTATGTCCTTTTAGCAGTGGAGATATTAGCAGAGAATGAAAAGAGGAGTGACCGATACACATTAAGGTCAGTAGGATTTTTTTATTTGCACCATACCCTTTCAGCAGCCCTGAGCTTAGAACGATGTTTGCGGAAAACATCAGACAGCAAAGGGGCAGAAGGGGTGGTACGGCCTGGCCTGGAATACAAGGGGCAGACAGTGTCTAAACAATATGTAAGAGTGGAGCAGAAAGTATCAGTAGCACTGTTAGCATCAAGAGATGATAACTGTTTAGGGGGAGGAAGCAAAGATGAAACCATAGCAGATAGCCGGAAGGGTGAGAGTGAGCGTAGGTTATGTCTAAAGATGACATGTGGAGGGGTATGTGTTGTGTCTGGAAGCATGTTGAGGTTAAGAGTGAGAAGGAAGTGATCCCAGGTGTGCAGTGGAGTATTTTTACATTAACCTGATTTGTGCTTTGTTTCAGTTCGCAGAAGTGAAGAAATGGAAATGTCCATGGCCTCGCCAGTCCAACATATATATCAGCATGTATGCTGTGTTCTCTCTGTTTCCCCTCTCAGTCACTGTTTTTAATTTAAATCATCCCATACCAAAATGAATAATCATAATCATTAAATCCTATCTCTATTTAACCATCATAACAACTGCCTTTCTTCTAGGATGGTTATTTCAAACCCCTTCCACTGGAGGTCGCTCTGCAAATTCTTGTAAATCAAGGCAGCTTAGCTTGTCTGAAGGTCAGGGCTGCGTTCAGCCCCGACAAAAATGGTGCAGAACGTTTTTTAAACGGAAACGGTGGTGCGTTGAACACCCTGTTCTGATGACGCAAGAGTTGCAACTATGGCAGCTGAGAAGGCCATTCTTTGTGTTCTTTTTGAAGAATTTTCGGAGCCTGATGAAAAATACCTGATCACTGTTGTTGTGCTATGATATTTACCATTATATAATCAGAGGGGTATAGAAAAGTTTATTAAAGTGTCACTCCATAATACAATAGCAAAATATATAAATATGTATAGTATTTTTATGTTACATTAATCAGTATTTAGCACACCTTCCTAAGGAAAGGATATGGACCAGAAGACATTGCAATTACTAAATGATATTTAGACAGACTTAAAGAAGTTCCAGATCTATACTTGTGCTCTTATTATTTCAGTTATTTTGCCTTTAATGTATATAAACATGTGCAAACAATATACTTGCTCTTTTTAATTTATTTGGATGTTAATTACATTGTGCGAGCTGTCTCTTTAATACAGCGTGGTTTATATACATGTTCTGCTGATTGGGCTGACATTTTTGACACGCCCACCAAACAAGAGAAAACGCATCTCAAACCCCGTTTGCACACCGTTTCCAGGAAACATGTCGTTCAAACCGGAAACCGTAGCAAAACGGTGCACACCGGTTTGAGCTTGAACTTGCCCCAGATCTTCATTTCAGCAAAGTTGAGGTCTAACAAAACAGAACAAAGAAAGAGAGCAGGCTAGAAGTTTAAGGTAATAATCAGATGTATATCTTCCTTCCTTCTGCACAGAATGCTGAGATTTTATTTCCTCTTGTCAGCAGATCAACCCAAAGCGGATTGAATATATAATATATTCAATATTCTATATAATATTAACATGCACAGTTAAACTCAATGTCAAAAACTACACCAAGATTTTTTTGCATAGTCTAACAGTATTCAGGTAGGAATTACTGCATAAATTTAACAAGGTTGTAGTAAATATTTTTTATATTTCTAGAATAAAAATGTTAATTTTAAAGCAAATCTCATGACATTATTTATGCAATTATAAATTGCAGTGTAAATAGATTGATAAATGGTAAAGTTGCATTTTGTTGATACAGATTTTATTTGATTGGAAGAGCTAGTGTTAAATAAGATATATTTTTTTAAATAAATAATTATGAAAGGATGCCTTTTTTTTATTTGAACACCTGTCCACCAAAATGTACATACACACACACATTTTACACACATATTTGTGTTACCATTTGCTCCAACATCAAGAAAAATAAATAAATAAATCCATGTTCTATGAGAAAGATAACAATTTTGCCCTCAGTGCCACACAGCAGTGTTAACTAGTTTTATAACAAAAAGTATAGTGTTAAAAATGTAAGTTATTCATTTGGATAGGGAATATTTGTGGCACATATGTATTTTAATTTTTTATTTTTTTTTGATTCAGTAAAATACCGGCTGGTAAGAGTCAATGGTCCTGTAACTGGATCGTGATCTTGTCCTGAGGCCCGACGTTTTTGGTTGCATTTGTGAATAATGACGCCTTGAACTTTTATTTTGACGGGACGGTTGGTGCACTACCTTTCTCTGGACTGTAGAGGCGCTGTGGTGCGTCACAACAACGGAAGCATCTGCTTGTGCTACTTTCACATAGCGCAGATCCGCGGTGGAAGATGTGTAGCTTGACATAAGTTGTGTAAGTATGTCAAAGTTGTCAATGAAAGAGCAAAGTGGCTGTCGAAAACTGTTGAGATTATTACCCCTGGACGACTTGTTCGCCCTTAAAGATACAGTAACGAATCGACTGATCGCTGTAGAGAGCACGCAAGGTAAGACGGCACTGTAAAGCTAACCATTTTCCAGACTCTTCTGTAAACATTGCCCGTGTCTGATGGCAACGACACTGAGCAATTGTTACTTTTCTGTATTATGTCAGGTTATAATAAATATCTTTGTATGAGCTGTGTATTTGTCAGTGTGTCTGAGTCTTCTTTCCTGATCAACAGAGGCCATTGAGGCCATCATAACTTACTCACAAGATGCCGAGGAGCTCCTCAAGAGAAAGAAGGTGCACCGGGATGTCATTTTTAAGTATCTTGCCAATGAAGGAGTTGCTATGCCCCCTAATAGTGATAAACAACAGCTGATCAGGAGAACCATTGAGTACTGGTCATCTGGTGAGGTAGGTGTCGCGAGGGAATCTCTAAACACAATGCCAAAAACATGTTTGGGTGGTATTATGCACCGCAGTCAGAAAAAGGGACAATTTTAAGGAGCATTAAGGATTTATTTTTCATATTATTTCCATGGCAGTTAAGCATAATTCTCCCCTATTTCACATTGTTAATGTACAACAGTTTAATTTAAATTACTTTAATAAAAATGATATATTACTTTGTGTAATATAGTTTAAAGTATTTATACATCACAGTAGCAATTAAAACAAGTTTAACTGTATTGCAGTATTTAATTTAATTAGTTTATTATAATATAATAATGTGTTGACATTAAAAATTATTTATCAGTCTGCAGGGCCATTTAAATTAACCAGTAAAGGCATTAAAAATGAAAAATCAAATTTCTGACTAAGAACTAAAATATTATAAAACAGTGAAATCCTTTTTTTTTTTTTTACTGTATATGTTGTGGTTATAAATTGTAGCCTTGAGGTTGATTAATCGACTCAGCCAAAACATTTCCAGGCTTTCTTATTTATTTATTAAAGTCCTTTTGCAAGAAATATGTATCACTCTTTGTGCATTTGAATATTTTTTTTTTTATGAATGAAGGATAAATAATGTCACAGCCTTTAGAGCGCCACTAAAGCTGGGCTTCAGTAGAGGTTTATGGGAGTTAGTTAAGTCATTGATTTCTTTTCTTCTTTTTTTAATCATAGAATTTCTATTTTAAATTGCGTTTATCCAACCCATCATGTACACTGCCTGACACTCTAAACTATTGATTTCAATGGGGCAAAGATCTTTAAACGCGTCATTTTTGCTTCTGTATCATATTTGCGTAGATCTTGAATCTGATCATATATTAAACATTGATGTAATGCACTGTATTTTACCCCACCTGGATGCCCAGCTTATCTGTTTATGGATTGCATGAGCTGTTAAATAGGCAGGACTTTGCAGCGAACGGACAATAAAATGAAACCACGATATATATGATTGACAGAACTTGTAATTTGAAAAGATTGCTGTATAGGGTGTGTTCTAAATGCTTGGAAAGAGGCACAGAGGTATTAAAAATACACTAGCCTTCAACAGTTTAGGGTCGGTAAGCCTTTTTAATGTTTATAAAATAAGTCTTATGCTCACCAAGACTGCATTTACTTGAAAATGAAATGAAAATTCTGTATAAACAGTAATAATGTGAAATATTAGTACAGATGAAAATAACTGTTTTCTATTTTAATATGTTCTAAAATGTAATTTATAAAACGGATAGTTCCAGTCCTTGATTCTGATTGGTTGAGCCGCGTTCTAAGCTGTTGTAAATTACTCTACAAACATACACCTTTGTTTACTTTGTGTGTTGCTTGGCAACCACTTTGTTGCAACCACAAATGTTTCTGAGGAACTACATTGTTTGGTGGAAGAATGCTGTTTTTATTAATATAGTTACACTTTATTTTTATTTTTTTTTGTGAAACCTAACTGCGTGATATGGAATAACCGTTTTATAAAACAGTAAGCCCTGTGAATCCGTGGTTTACAGTGAATTTATAACAGCTAAGGGGGTTTTAACGCCCCTTAGCTGTTATAAATTCACTGTAAACCATGACTTCTTGGGGCTTATTGCTTTATTCATCAGCCATTACTCCTGTTTCCAGTGTCACATGATCCTAAAGAAATAATTCTGATATGCTCATATCTAACATTCTATTTCTTTTTACCTTGCTAAATAAAAGTAACAATTTCTTAAAGAAAAAAAAAAAAATCTTACTGAACCCAAACGTCTGAACTGTAGTGAACGTCATGACAATTGTGTCAAGTAATTTCACTTTATAAAAACATTTTATAAAAAAAAAAAAGTGCTTAAATTTCATTCTTTAAAAACTGAACCCTGAAAAAACATATGAACCTTGCGCTGAGTATCACTTATAAAGTTAAGGTTTTATAGGTTGTATTTTGACCTGGTCGATATTTCTAACAGATCTCAAAGCGTGAGAAGAACACAGTGGTTTCAGAAGATGTTGGAGATGGTCTGTCAGACCTTCCAGCTTTGGGAAAACAGTTTTGCCAGTGGTTCTTCGCTCTTCTGAACTCTCAAAACCCCACTCAAGGGCAGCCGGCTCAAGATTGGGGTCCTCAGCATTTCTGGCAGGATGTGAGACTTCGGCTTCTCTTATGTTCTGGAGAGCGGCAGGTCGATGAGTTCAGCGGGGCAGAGCTGGTCAGCCAGTGGCTTCATGCTTTTGCAGGACAAGAGCATCTGTTGTTCTGCCCAAACTTGGAGGGTCAAGGGTTAAAGTGTATATCTTCAGCTCATGGACTGGTGTTAGTGGCCATAGCCGGGACCATCCACCGTGACAATGCCTGCCTTGGGATTTTTGAGAAAGTGTTTGGCCTCATTCGCTCACCAATGGACAATAATCGCTGGAAAATAAAGATTGTGAATATGAAAGTGGAAGCACAAAGTGGCATCACAGACAAACAGTTACCAGTTATTACATACGACTCAAAAGAGTTGCTGAGCCTTTGCGACTGAGAGTCCGAGATCCTCACAAGGTTTGTTTGGACATGTTTTGACTCGGCAGTGAAGTCTGAAGTCTTAACACAGATGATGTACTGTGTAAACAACTTTATTGTGGGATAGATATTCATCTGTAAAAGGATCTAAGTTTGTATTTTTTATTTATTTTTTTTACTTGAAGGACAGTTTCCAGTCAGTTTGAACCCTAGCAAAATATTTCTTTAAAATGTATTTTATTGATTTATTATCCCCATTATTATTATTGTTGTTTTAAATAGAAAATCTAAATTAATGTTTATTTATATGGATTGAACAACTTAAAGTTACATTTATAAAGTAGTTTTCTGAAAATTGGCCTAAAAGCATTTTTAATTCGTCCTTCAGGTTACTTCGAAAACAATAAATTTACAAATATTTATACAAATTTAGGCTTTTTAGTAATTTTAGTTCATATGTGAACTTTAAGGTGGCAGTTCTACCTTTATTTTTGTTTACAGAAATCTAATTGGAAATCTAACTTTTTAAAGTCCCGATGTCCTCTACAGAGGACATGGCATAACGTATGAATAAAATATCTTTAAAAAATTTTTTTTTTTTTAAATTATTTTTCTAATTTATTCTTATGCTCTAAACAATGTAATGACATGACAAAATACTAAATTCACAAAACTTTTTTTTATTTTTATGGTACTCATATATAATGATTTTATTTTTATTTTACTTTTGTGATTTTGGGTTGGCTAGAATTCAAACTCTCTGGAAAATTAAAGTCATCTTTAGCTCCCTAATATTTTACGATTTTCCTTAAAATACCTCAAATCTGTTTATTCCTTCTAGTTATTCATAAGTACTTGTATCAATACTTGGATCATTTCACAGTAAAATATCTGTTAACATCTCTGTGCCTCATGACTTTATGTATTTATTTATTTTTATTCTTATTTTATTTTATTGTTTTATTTTGTCTTTGTTCAAACACAGAGTCATCTTGGTAACAATAAGATTCCAGTTGTTAACAATAAGTAAATACATTAGTTAACATGAACTAACGATGAAAAATACTTCTAAAAGCATTTATTAATCTTAGTTAATGGTCATTTCATTTACTATGCATTATTAAAATCAAAAATTGTTTTTGCTAATATTATTTAATGAACCTGAGTTAACATGAACTAACAATGATCAGTTTTATTTGTATTAACTAATATTAACAAACCTTAATAAAGACTGTAACAAATGTAATTCTCACAGTTAGTGCATTGTTAACTAATGAAACTTTACTGTAAAGTGCGACCGACATTTTTAGGGCTCTTGAGAAGAACCTCTAAGCGTTTTTTTTTTCCATTATTATTATTTATTTTTTCATTGCCGTGGTGAAGTTACCTCCAAATTATGTCCACATAACACTTTTTTTTCCAGCAGCGGTGTTACATTCCCTCATTCCCATAATTATGGTTCATGATCATCAGCTCTGTAGCTTTATTGCGGAAGGAATGTTTTACAGTATTCACGCCTTACGGGAATAAAGTACCGTTTATGGTTCTTGAGAGGCCAGAAGCAAGTTCTTTGACTCATCAGTCTCTAATTGGGCAGTAGATGAAGCAGCACTTCTCTCTGGAGCAATATGCAGCGAGTGTGAGCCGGGCTGTGATGGGTGTTTAGTAGCACAGCAATGTGTGGTTTCAGTGGGGAATGTTATATGTGGGAAATTATTCTTGGCGTTTGCTTCAAAGACTGACGCTTCGATAATATCTTTTCTCGAGCAGTTTTTTAATGCCACAGAGTGCCATAGTTGTGGCAAAAGACGCCACCACAACCATTGATCTTTTTCCTGTTCACCTCCCCGAAAGAAAAATAACAAGCTCCTCGTTTTCTGTCTTTATAGCTGTGGCCTCTTTCTTTTTAATAAGTGGTTTGGCCGAGCTCACAGTTATGACGTCCAGGTTCAAAAATACAGTTCACTGGCGTCTGCGGATCATTGCGCCTTCAGATTGTCTTTAATGGCGACGTGTGTTTCTCATAAAGCCCATGTTAACGTCTTGATGGTTAATCTCTCAGATATGTTTTGGAGGGGTGAACAATGAACTTTTTTAATTGGCTAGTCTATTATAATTTTTTTTTGGTTGTTACTTTTGAATTATTGCTTCAAAGGTTAGAAAATAGCACATACGTCTTTAATGTGTTCGCTTGTTTATGGCCAAATTCAAACTTGAATGGCTGAGCTATGATTAAAACACTTTTCATCTAGGTATGATTCTGTTTCATTGTGGAACTAAAAAGAATCTGAGTTTTGCTGCATAGAAACCAATTTAATCTTGAACTATTAGTTCTATTTTTAATTGCTGTGACATTTTATATAATCTATAACAACTTGCTGGACTTTGCTGGCCCATAATGTGCATTTGTCCAAAAAAAAATAAATAAATGAAATGTCCACATGGGGGCACAATTGACCCATTATTTGTGTCAAAATCAAAAGGCAAAGCAATTATTTTAGAAAATCAATTTGTTTTATGCAACCCCAATGTTTTATAGAGCTGTTCATGTACCAAAGTGTAAATTTTTAACTTTATTGCTGATTGCTTGGCTTTAAATCAATCTCTTCCTGAGTGTATTGCAAATACCTAAATTATTGCTTTTGGAAACTATGATAAAGTATATTAAAAATGAACGTTATTTATTGATCTGATGTGATGTGACAATGTCCTTAGTAAAAAGAAAAAAAACTCCTTGAACCAAGTAATCCATCTATTAAACCTTTGACAGCCCAGACAATTCAATTGCTTAATTAAATGAGTTATTGTCTGAAGTCTGAAAGACCCTCATCCATAAGAATTAGAGCTGCAAAGCAAACAGACGGTACGCTGTAGTGCATCAGTGTACTGTGCCGTGTTTATACATGTGGGAAGGACAGAACCTGAAGACGTGATCACCATTTCTCATCTGACCTCCGTTCACCCTGTAACATCTGAGCGCGCTCGTACATTAGTCTGTGGAATGTTGCCCTCTACAGCAGCAGTGATCAAAACAAACTCCCTCGTGTGAAGTACAGGCTGATTGATGGACATGTGAATGAGTCTATTTTGCTTCTGCCATCATTGACAATTTAAGAATCTTTTTTATTTTTTATTTTTTTTCAGTTTCAAAGATTTATTTTCATTGATTTCCAAAAAAAAAAAAAATCAAAGGGTTGTTCTTTCAAAATTACATTTTCTCAGTGTATAGGATGCTTTAAACAAATAGGGTCAAATATAGGACCTCAGACTTTTTCAGTTTGTGGTTCATTTGAGGAGGTAAAATTAAGTAGTTTCGGGGGAAGTTGTGGCCTAATCCGAACCCCCAACTGCTCCCCGGGCGCCGCAGCAAAAGGCTGTCCACTGCTCCGGGTGTGTGTTCACGGTGTGTGTGTGTTCACTGCTGTGTGTGTGCACTTTGGATGGGTTAAATGCAGAGCACTAATTCCGAGTATGGGTCACCATACTTGGCCACATGTCACGTCTCACTTTTCACTTTTTAAATGTCCTATATGTTGTTTTTAACAGTTGTTTATATTATGTTAAAATATAATAAAACATTAATTTAACAACATTTAGATTTCGATTTGTGGGGTTAAATTTTCTAGAAATAAGATGACTTTTTTCAGTAAGTTTATTGATAAACTATATTTACAATTTCTCATAAACTGCATATAATTTAACCATAAATTGAGCAAAATATTAGTTTAATTTTTTTTCTTCTCAAAATGAGAAAAAAGACAAATCTTCACACTTGGAAAACAATATAGAATGGTTAAGTTTTCAAATGTAGTGAACACTATAACTCATAGAAAATAGAATGAGATTTAATTTTCTTGTCATGCTGTAGAAAGGGTCCCATTAATATTTCTTAGATGTCATGGTTGTAAATGTTTAAATTTACTATTTTCTGTAATAGAGGGGAATTATGCAATAGCAGGGTTGTGTAAAAAATGTAGAACCGTAATTCTAAAAATCTAAACATAATTTTGTGGTGAAAAATCGTCAATAATAATTCAAACTAACACTACAATAAGGTTCCATCTGTTAGCATTAATTAACATAAACTAACAATGCTAAATTCTTGTAAAGCATTTTATTAATTTCAGTTCATTGGTTTCAACATTAAAATCAAAAGTTGTATCTGTTAAAGGGGTCATATGATGCGATTTCATTTTTTCCTTTCTCTTTAGAGTGTTACAAGCTCTTGGTGCATAAAGAAGATCTGTAAAGTTGCAAAGACTAAAGTCTCAAATCCAAAGAGATATTCTTTATAAAAGTTAAGAGTCAGCCACACCTACCTAAAACGGCTTATTAGTTAATGCATTAATTAATGTTTACTAATGGACCTTACTATTAAAACGAAGTTTAATACAATTAACATAATATAAGGTCAACAGATTATAATGATATTGTTGTATAGTTGTTTGGAGGTGGTTATAAAAATTGATATTTTTAAAGGGGTCATATGATGCGATTTCAAGTTTTCCTTTCTCTTTAGAGTGTTACAAGCACATCATATGACCCCTTTAAAACTATTATTATACTATTTTTATATATTATCTTTAAATGAAAAATATTATCTATGTATGTATATGTTATTTAACATTTTGTAACATAATAGTTTCCTAACATATAATTTCCAAACAAATACAAGTTATCCATTACTATTACATTTTTTTTTTTTTAAAGTGGGAACATTGGATTCGTGCCTCAATTTTTCTTTAAAGCACTAAACACTGTGTAGTCTATTCATGGAACAAACTGTAGATTAACACTTCATTTCATTGTGGAGCTTTTCCAGAGGGCTCTCTACCGACGAGGCATTAATTTCTGCTGTAAGCATATTGTGTATTTCACATAAACAATGAATGAGTGCAATGCAGTGCACAGAACTGTTCAAGTAAAAATGCTGACACACAAGTTTAACATGACTAAAAAGAATCCATGACCTTTACATTCCACTTAAACGTTTACAGCACAGCAAATCAGTCCTCTTACAGCTGAAGGTGCTCTGTCAGGACGTCCTTTTGGAATAGAATTTGTGGACAAACTCCTCGCGGCTCTGGAATATGTGGACGGGGAGCAAGCAGCGGGTGTTAAAGAGGCTTGAGAGCGTGGCTGCTGATGGGGAAATGATCATGTTATCTGGGCGTGCCAGCAGACTGTCAGGTTGGCTTTGGCTGGCTGTCTGTGCTGCTGTCCTGGATGCAGTTAGTGGCTGTGAATGGAGACAGCGTCCACTATGTGTCTAAAAATTCCTGTTTTCATTATACAAAGGCAAAGGATTTAGTAGTAACAAGTAGTAATAAA